GACAGGGTTTTTTTCTTTGGAGGTTTAAAAGGATTACCCATTCCTTCTCCCTCTGGTGGGTTAAAGGACTTTTGTTTTGGAATATCTGGGCGCTTGTAGGCAGAGATCTAGAACCTGTACTTAGCAGGAAGTGTTGCTTTGAAAAGTTGCAGGGCTGAGGACATGGCTCAAGTGGTAGAAAGTCTGCCTAGCAAGTGCAAGGCCCTGAGTTCAAATCCCAGTACCACTCCCCACCACCAAAATAAAGAAGGAAAAAAAAAAGAGAAAAAACAAGGAAATGTTGCAAAAGAACCAGTTTAAAGGAATTGGCAACAGTATCTTCTGCTAGGATCACAAGTCAAATTGTGAGGTGAGCACGGTCGTGCACGCCTGTAAGCCCAGCTCTTGGGACACTAAGGCAGGAGGATATTGAGTTCAAGGTTAGCATGGGCTATAGAATAACAGCCTGTCTCAAAAAAAAAAAAAAAAAAACCAAACCATGAGAGAACTGAAAACATAAAATTCTTAGCAGAACTGAGTGATTGTAAGATGTCCCTAATGGAAAACGCACCATTGTTTCTGGCCCCACGGAGAAGAAAGAACCGTTAAGTTACGCCTCAGTTCTTTCTCGTGACTTTGTATTTTTATTTTCTGCCTGTCAAAATAACTTTAAATTTATCTAGACATGGATTTTTTTTTCCCATGCTGGATATCAGCCCCAAGGCCTTGCCAATGCTAGGCAAACACTCTACCAGCCCTAGACATAAATTTTTTAAATCATGTACCAACGCTTAGATGATCGCTCAACCTCAAGAGTACTCAGTAAAACACTAAGAGTAAAATAAGACTTTTTCTCTTTCATGTTGACATCCTTGGCATATTTCCTTTCTCCTCTTGCCTTTTGCCTCAGTAAAAAAAATAGCTGCTGAGGCTCCAGGCATCGTGCCACAGTCAAGGATGTAAGAATGACGCCAACCATGTCAAAAGTCTTCCTAGAGCCCCCAGCATACTTCTTCTTTCTGCTTGTATTTCATTTGTTAGAACTGTGTCCCACGGACATCCTTGCTATAAGCCAATAGCTAGAAAAGCAAATATTTTGCCTGGGTCTGGGCGTGTTGCCATCCCTGAACAAAAGCAGACTTTATTAGCAAAGACAGAGGAAATAGGAATCGAGAAGTAAGCAAATGGTGTCAGCTGCAACACAGCTCAATAAATGGTAGTTTTACACACGTACTAGGTCGTTACTGCCCTCAACATGAAGTAAAAATGACAATGGCCAAAGTGTACTGTGTGCTAGAAGCCGTCCTGTTTTAAGTGTATGAGAATGTCACATCCATTTTATGAAGTGAATGTTGTCTTGTTCTATTTTAGTAGTTTTATTATCCCTCAATACTCACGGTTAGATGTATCATAATCCACATCCATGTGGTCCTCACTGGTCCACGATAACTCTTTTTTTTTTGGCAGTGCTAGGGTTTGAACTCCAGGCTTTGCACCTGAACCACTTGAGCTATGTCTGCAGCCTCTAGCCCCTACTTATAAAATATTGGTTATTTTTTATAATGTATTAGGTATCCTCCCATTCTCCACCCAAGACAAAATTAGGGTCATGCCAGTAATTTGCATCAGACTTTGTGACTTCCCTGTTCGTCGTCACGTCTTCCCCTGACCAGGGTGATTGTCATCCAGAGTCAGGGTTTAGTACTGCTCTAACTCCTTGGATAGAGCCCTACAGCTTTATTCTTTACTGTATCTGTATACAGTCTTAAAAACTCTCTCTGTGTGTATCTCAGGCTGGTCTCCTAAAAACTCTGTGTGTGTGTATCCCAGGCTGGTCTCGAACTTTAGATCCTCCTGCCCCCGTCTCCAGAGTGCAAGATCTACAGGCATGCACCACCATGCCTAGCTAGTGCAGGTCTATTTTCAGTTCTTTTTTAATTTAATAGTACATGGCCAGCTAGGCACCAGTGACCCACACCTGTAATCCTACTTACTTGGGAGGCTGAAATCAGGAGGATTGAAGTTCGAGGCCAGCCCTGGTAAATAGTTCCTGATACCTACTTCCAAAATGACCAGAGCAAAATGGACTGGAGGTGTGACTCAAGAAGTAGAGTGCCTGCTTTGCAAATGTGAAACTCTGAGTTCAAACCCTAGCCCTACTCCATACACCCTCTGAGAGAGAGAGAGAGAGAGAGAGAGAGAGAGAGAGAGAGACAGAAGACAGACAGACAGACAGAGAGAGACTGGGCAGGAGGGATAGGCTCATGTAGTAAAGCGGCTGCCTAACTAGTGCAAGGCCCCAAATTCAAACCCTAGTGCCACCAGAAAAAGACAGTAACTTATTATGATAGCTTATTTCTATGTTAAGTCATGACATTCCATGCCAATTAGGGTGCTTGCCACACTCACCAAGCACTTCTACGTCTGGTTCAAGATCAGCTCTGATGACAGCTAAGCAACAGGAAGTATGAAAGGGAGAGAGTGAGTAAGTCAATCCTTCCATAAGACTGTTAAGTGGCCCGTGTCATTTCCACCAGCGTCCCATGGGTCACTCGGCCCTGTAAAGCTGCAAGGGAAGCTAGGAAATGTAGTCATCAGCTCGTGGCCCCCGACTCTAGCTGAGACTTAAAGGTAGAAGAGAGAACTGAATGCTGAGGCAATTGTCAGTCTTTGTCCAGATGGACAAACACAAGCCCGACGAGTAAGTACAGTGAGAAGAAGGCTGCCGTCTGGTTTATGGAGTTGGGAGGCCCTGAGCACAGTAGGGCCCACATACACCATAGCTAGGAAACCAGATCACATGCCTTTGTCTACCCTAGTTTGAGCTCAGGGCCTCACGCTTGCTAGGCAGGCACTCTACCACTTGAGCCACTCTGCCAGCCCTTTTTCTTCAAGATGGGGTCTCTCGAGCTATTTGCCCGGCCTGGCTTCATACCTCAATCCTCCAGATCTTTAGCAGCTAGGATTACAGTCGTGAGCCGCCGCACCCGGCTCCTTGTGCTCTTAAATTGTGATAAGCACTCACACTTATCCACCCCTGACCCTTGCACTTCAGAAGGAAGCACTATCCCAAATTGTGCCCATTATTCCCTCACTTTTAAAATAAAGTTTATCTACATATATACCCATGTATGTGGACAATCTATTATTTCGTTTTAGTTGCTTTTGAATTTTATAAAAAACCCTCACTCTTGAAAAATGGGTTTTTTTGGTGGGGGGGGAAGTACTTGAATTTGAATTCAGGGCCTTGCACTTGCTAGGCAGGTGCTCTACCACTTGAGCTATGCCCCCAGCCCTTTTTTGCTTTAGATATTTTCAGAATAGGATCTCCCATTTATGCTCAGGCAGGCTTGGACTGCAATCCTTGATCGTCCTATTTACACTTCTTGAGTAGCTGGGATGACAGGTGCTCACCACCAAGCCCAGCTTTTATGGATTGAGATGGAGTCTCTCAAACTTTTTGCTCAGGCTGTCCTCAAACTGCGATCCTCCCGACCACCACTTCTGGAGTAGCTAGGATTACAGACATCAACCACTATGCCCTGGTGCTTACATTCCTCTCTACCCTCAAGGCTATCAAAGTGAAAGTCAAGTTTGCCTCAAGTGACAGACACCCTCAAAGCAAAGTTGACTTCTTCTTGCTTGCTGAACTTCTAAAGCACTTCTGTACCTTTAAAAATATGTTACAAGTATTTCAAGCATCGTTTTCAGTTCATTTTAGCCCTGAGTTGACTCTATTAAGAGACCTAATCAATCAGAAGCCCTCCATTTCATTTTTTGTCGTCCATTCCCTCTTCTATTCATCTTCTCCCCCTTTTCCCCTTGTTCTTTGCCCCCTCCCTTCTTGAATTGGCCACTTTTCTCACTCTTGCTTTTTCTTTTCTATCCTGAGGTTCTGACTTTCCCTGCTGGTGCATCTTTCACTATAATCCATGGGTTTGGGTTTGGATATGGAGCAGAGAAATGCCTGCCCAAAGCCACAGGTGCCCATCTGTGTCATCAGCTCCTCGACCCTGCAGGGCTCTTGCACAGGCCTGGTGATTCTCTTGAGACACCTGCACTCAGGGATGACCAAGTGCCCCAGTTGTCATCACTGGGGGCAGCAATAGTGGTAGTGCTGGGAGAGGTGATCATCATTTAAGCTACTTTTCATTTTTAGAATTCAGTGTTTTCTAACAGTGGATATCTGTGAAAATTACTAGGCGGTTTTGAAAACTCCTGCTGCCTGGGGGCCGCCAGAGCCTCTCTGGTGTGGGTTGGGGCTTGGGCACTTCCAGTGGTCCTGATGTCAAACCAGGGTTTGACACCTCATGGCTGCCAGCTCCAGACTGTGTCCTCCTTCCTCCTACCCCCAGTCACTTTTTTTTTTTTTTCCAGTACTGGGGCTTGAACTCAGGCCATACACCTTGAGTCACTCCACTAGCCCTTTTATGTGTTGGGTATTTTTGAGATAGGGTCTTACAAACTATTTGCCTAGGCTGACTTCTAACCACGATTATTCTAATCTCTACCTCCTTAGTAGTTGGATTACAGGTGTGAGCCACTGGTGCCTGGCTATTTTTTTTTCCCCCTTGGGTGCTGGGGACTGAACTCAGGGCCTTGCACTTGCCAGGCAAGCACTCCATTCAGCTAAATCCCCAACCCCTGAAAAAATCACTTATTTTGTTGGTGCTGGTGGGACTGGAGTCTGAACTCAGGGCTTCACGCATGCAAAGCAGGCGCTCTATCTCTTGAGCCACACCTCCAGTCCATTGTGCTCTACTTATTTTGGAGATGGGGATCCCAGGAATTATTTGCCTGGACTGGTCTCCAACATCGATCCTCCTGATCTCAGCCTCCCAGTAGCTAGGATTACAGGCCTGAGCCACCGGTGCCAGCCCAGTCACTTTCAAACAGTCTTGTTTCCTGGCTTCCCTATTTCTCTCTACTGTTCCCATGGTGGACTGGGGAAGACGCAGGAACCCTGGCGTGTCCAGCAGTTCCGTTGTGCTGTGTTGTTTGTCTCCCCAGGAGGCGTGGACATGAAGCAGCCGCGCTGGTGCGGGATGACTGCCAAGACGGGCACGGTGCTGTCAGGGGTCTTTTCCATCATGGCCACACACCTGTCCCTCATCTTTGAACGGAAGCACCTGCAGGACAACAACTGCACGGAGCACAATCTGCAGGACAGGAGCATCAAGGAGCTGTTACACCAGCTCATCCTGTGCAGGAGCTACGCCATCGTCCTGTTCCTAGCGGTGACCACCATGCTCACCAGCGCCTTCCTGCTGTACTCGGTGTACGCGCAGCACTACCGAGGCCTGATGACGTACGTCCTGTGGATCATCTGCGAAACCATCGCCGACCTTGTGATCAAGGTCCTCACCAACGAGCTCAGCATGGGCGAGATGCGCTACGTGCGCTGGAGCTGCTGGGGCTGCCGCGCCTGCATGCAGGGCTTCTGGATGTTCTTCGTGGTCACCTACGCGCAGGTCACCTACAAGGGCCAGACCCAGGGCTACATCCTGGCCTACAACAGGCGCATCTCCATGGGCAACAGGGAGGCCCCCCGGTGCAAGTCCAAGATCCTCAGCTTCGTCCGGCACTACAGTGCGTGAGGTTCGCCTTCCTTGCTTTTCTCTTTTGCTGAGCAATCAGCAAGTCCCCAGGGCCAGTCTTGCGGAGGACTGAGGAGAGCTGCTGTAACCAACTAACGTCACAACTGGAACGTCCTGCCCATTGAGGGAATTTATCAAAGCCTCCTGGACTTCTGTCCTCCTTTGCTGGTCAGTGTCACCTGATTGGTGGGATGAAATGAAGTCGAATTGCCAGATGGCTGTCCCTTTATCTTGGTATGTCGTTCTGAGCCTCAAACCCTCAGCTATGGTCTCCTATGCTCTATTCCAGCTAAGTAAAGCAATGAAAATCGTTCTTCCATTTCTGTCTTGAGTTCTCCTCCTCCCTAAGCATTTGCTTAGGCAGAAGATACATATTGCTGTGTGTGGTGGTGCATACCTGTAATCCCAGGTACTCCTGGTGGAGTTAGGAGGATCACGAGTTTGAGCCCAGGCATGGCAGCATAAGTGGAATACCATCTCAGAAAGAAAATCCAAACTAAAGGGCCAGGGGTGTCACTCAAGTAGTAGGTCACTTGCTAGACTAGAATGTGTAAGGCCCTGAATTCAATCCCCAGTACCTCAAAAAAAAAAAAAAAAAGACATATTAAACTTACCTTTGTGCCTGGCACTGTGTTATATACTCTGGGAGGTTACAAAAAAATATAAACTAACTATAAAACTTGGCAGGGCATAGTGGTACATCCTGTACTCCTAGCACTCAGGACGATCGTGAGTTCAAGATGGCCTGGGCTATGCAGCAAGACCATGTGTCAAAAAACAAAAGCACCCTGGCTCACGCCTGTAATCCTAGCTACTCAGGAGTCAGAGATCAGGAAGATTGAGGTTTGAAGCCAGCCCATGCAAATAATTGTGAGGCCCTGTCTCAAAAAATACCAAGCACAAAAAAGGGCTGGCAGAGTAGCTCAAGTGGTAGAGCAACTGCCTACCAAGTGTGAGGCTTGAGTTCAAACCCCAGTGCCACCAAAAAGAAAAGAAAAGAAAAGAAAAAAGTATACTTCCAATTTCTCTCTTCTATTCATGCCATCTCTGGCATACATTTTTCTTTTACATATGCTGTACTTCGTGTAAAATTTAAACAACAGGAAAACACCTCATCTATTTACTCATGTGGTTATCGTTGGTGGTGCTATGAATCCTTCCATGGATCCAGATGGCTCTTGGTATCATTTTTCTTCTGCCTGAAAGGCTTCCTTTCTTACACTGTGGGGGTACTGATTAATTCTTTCTTCATTGGTATGCTTGAAAAAGATTATTTCATCATTTTTTAAAATCTAAATCCTTTTCTCATTTTTGGTGGTACTGGGGTTTGAACTCAGGGCTTTGTGCTTATTAGGCAGGTATTCTACCACTTGAGCTACTCTGCCAGCCCTCCTTGCTTTAGTTATTTTCTGAATAGGGTCTTGCATTTATGCTGGAAGCTGGCCTGAACCACTATTTTCCTACTGACTTTTCCTACATAGCTGGAATGACAGCTTTTATTGGTTGAGATGGGGTCTCTTTGAACATTTTGCCTAGGCAGATCTCAAACCACCATCTTCTTGATTTCTGTATCCCAAATAGCTAGAATTACATTCTTGAACCACCTACCCAGCTTTTAAATCTTAAGTCTTTAAGAAAATTTTCAAAATACACACAACATGAATCTTACCATCTTAACTGTTCTAAGTGTCTGGTTCGGTAGTATTAAGTACAATCACACTGTTGTGCAGTCAATTAACCTTACAAAATGGGCATTTTATACCCAGTGTACAAGAAACACTACCTCCCCAGGCCTCCTTCCCTTCAGCTCATGGCAACCACCATTCTCCCTTTTTCTCCTTCTCCCTCTCCCTCTCCCCCCACCTCCTTCTCCTCCTTGGCTTCCTCCTCCTTCTTCTCTTTCTAAAATACATCTTAGGGCTGGCAGAGTGGCTCAAGTGGTAAGAGTACCTGCCTAGCAAGTGTGAGATCCTGAGTTCAAACCCCAGTGCCACCGGAAAAAAAAAAAAATCTTAAAATTTCTAAAATGCATCTTGCCTCAGGTTTATTTGTACAAACATCACAGGAGGACGCCAACCCCAGGTAGACAGAAGCCTAAGGGTCCCACCAATCCTTCAGTCCCCACATCAGTAAACAGGGGCCTTTCCTATGGGGAGGGACATGGGCACCTTTAGAATTGGGAGCTGAGCCAGAGCTGGAGCTGCAGCCTGGGCCTTGGCCTTTGGTCAGCTCTGCCAAGCCCCTTGGCGATGTGGTCTTGAGTGTGCTTCCTGGGCTTGGTGGGTAGTGGAGGTGAGGGGCTGGAGCTCGTGAGGACCCCATTTGCGATCTCGGGCTCAGTGTCCTCGAGCTGTGAGGCCTTCACAGCCCCCCACCCCCCACACTCATAGTCATGGCCTTGGCTTTGTTCACTGTTTCTCGTTCACGGTCTCCTGTGTTTCTTGGCAAAACATATGTTCCTCAGGAACCTGGGGCCTGCTCTTTGAGAGAGTCATATCTTTGTGATCACGGTTTCCTGATGTCACTTCTGGGATAGTTTCAGGACTGCTTGTGTGTTGTGTGGAGGTTGGATTTGGTCATGCCTGCATGGTACCCACAGCTCCCAAAGCACCTGGGAACAGAGGGGGAAAAGCTGTTCTCTCTCTGTTTCAGCGACTTTGAGGACTCACAGTACCTCATAAGTACACTCATAGTATCTGTCTTTTCGTGAATGGTTTAATTCACTTAACATAATGCCCTCGAGTCTCACCTATTAGTATGGATAAGAATGCCCTTCCATTGATTTATTTGGCAGCACAGGGATTTGAACTCAGGGCCTCATGCTTGCTAGGCAAGGGCTCTTAACTGCTTGAGCCACTCCACCAGCCCATTACTTTTAAAAACTGAATAATAGCCGGGCACTGGTGGCTCACACCTGTAATCCAAGCTACTTGGGAGACTTAGATCGGGAGGATGGAGGTTCAAGGCCAACCTGAGCAAATAGTTCTTGAGACCCCTCCCATCTCCAAAAATAACCAGAGCAAAATGGATTGGATGTGTGGCTCAAGTGGTAGAGCGCCTGCTTTGCAAGCATGAAGTCCAGAGTTCAAACCCCAGTTCCAACAACAAAACCAAAAAAAAAAAACTGAATAATATTCCATTGTATGTGTATGCCACATTTTGTTTTATTTGTTCAAATTTTGCTAGATGGTAGGTAGCATCCATCTTTTGACGATTGTAAAAACTAGTGCTATGATCACAGCATACAAATATCTCTTGTTTTAGTTCTTTTGGGTGTATTTGTTAGAAGCAGTATTGCTGGGTCATGTGGTAGATTTTTAATTGTTTCCACCACAACTTCCCCACTCCAGTTGATGAATCCAGGGAGTCTGTGTCATCTTTAATTTCTTTCTTTTTTTTTTTTTTTTGGTGGTACTGGGCTTGAACTCAGGGCTTCCACCTTGAGCCACTCCAGCAGCCCTATTTTTGTGAAGGTTTTTTGAGATAGGGTCTTGTGAACTATTTGCCTGGGCTGACTTTGAACCAAGATCCTCTTGATCTCTGCCTCCTGAGTAGCTAGGATTACAGGCATGAGCCACCGGTGCCTGGCTCATCTCTGTATATTTTACAATATTAGTACATTACTTGTGTAAAAAGCCAGGGCCTTCATGCAAGTGAAACTCAGGACCTGGATGTTAGCCTCCTTCGTGCACTTACAGGCTTTGTACCCGGCAAGGTGTCATAAATATTTTGGAGCAGATGACCCATATCTCAGGGTACCCAGATAAACAAAAGGTATAAATAAGGTTGGGCGTGATTGGATGGCTCACTACCGTAATCCCAGGGACTTGGGAGGCAGAGATTGGAAGGGTCCTGGTCCAGGTCACCTCAGGCAAAAAATCACAAGACCCTGCCTGAAAAATTAAAGCAAAAAGGATAGAGCACCTGCCCAGCAAGCATGAGGCTGTGAGTTCAAACCCCAGGACCACCAAAATAAATAAATATATTCATAGTAATTTCTTAAATAAATTGACTTAGTCCTTAAAGAGAGATTTGAACTACTAATTTCAGATGTTTCCTTTGCAAAGAGAAATTTATATCACTTTAGGTGCAAGTGTTAGGGTAAATAAAAAACCTAAAACTGCCATGGGAGTTTTTTAGGGGGGAGCAGCCTGATGGGGTATAGTCACAGGTGGCTTTACTTAGGAGACAGCGGTTTTGATACGTCCTAAAAGATGGAATGAGTGGGTTTTTCTGGTGGAACTGGGGTTTGAACTCAGGGTTTTGGGCTCACAAAGCAGGAACTCTTCCAGTTGAGCCAAACCCTCAGTCCATTTTACTCTGCTTATTTTGGAGATGGAGTCTCTTGAACTATTTGCCTGGCTTGACCTTGAACCTCGACCATCCGATTTCAACCTCCCAACTAGCTAAGATTACAGGTGTGAGCCACCAATGCCTGGGGACCCTGGGCCTCTTCCTCCATAACACTTATCACACTGCGTTGTAAGATTTTTCTTTCTCTTTTTCTTAATTCTTAAAAGTACTTTATTCATTTGGTTTTTCACTTGTCTACCTTCCACATGGGAATGTTTTTCTGTCTCTCAAGTCAAACTCTGTTTCCTCTCACAGTAGATAATTAATTGAATTTTTTTTTTTTTAATGAAGTGGTGTGTGAATTTCTGAGTGTCATCAACCCTGGAATTCTGGGGGGTTTTTGTTTTTTGTTTTTTGGTGGGACTGTGCTTTGAACTCAGGACTTCATGCTTGCAAAGCAGGCACTCTACTACTTGAGCCACACTCCGGCCCTGAATGTTGAATGAATAGCCAAAGGAACCTGGCAGGAGGCAGAGAAAGAAGTTAGGTGGTTGTTAGAGTGGCCCAGGAAGGAGGGGCTAGGGCAGAGACCAAGGCTGGGCAGCCCGGATGTGGGACTAACGGAATTTAAGGAACCTGCGACACAGGCCTAAAGCTAGGAGTGATTCTGGACCCTCGTCCAAGGCTGAAGGCCTGGAAGATCCCTA